CATGGAGGCAGCCAGGCGTTCCGTTGTTTCAGTGGTGTTCGGCAGAAAAAGTGTCAGTTTTTAGTTCCATGAAACTAGAGCCGAACACCGCTGGGCTTTCGCGTGTTTTAAAATGGCCGCTGCCTCGTGGGCGACATACGAACAATGACCACCCTGAATTCGGTTTAATTGAGAAGTGTCTGCGGTTAACCACAACATTCTAATTGAGATCAATAGATTAACCAGCAGCACACTTCTCTCCTGGGTGGCCATCCGTTCGGTAGTTTTGTTCGGGAAAAACAGTCATTCATATGGCTGGACTATAGGAAACAGCCATTTACACAAACGGGGCAGAAACATACGAATCCACCGCAATAAACAGACAGATGGTTCTGTCACAATGCAGTTAGTAGTTTAAACACAAAAGGGTAAGCAAATATTTCAGGCTGTGTTATGTTGTCAGGCGCGGTCGGGGGCAAAGGTGGCATTTGTCAGAGTCTCGCACTTGTCGGTCACCTTACCCCCATTCTCATCTTGATTGTCCCTTTGCAGAGCCAAAGTCCGATAATTTTAATGGGTCAGGAGAAAAAAATCATCTCAAGTCTCGCCTCTGGATGTCCGTAGGGCTCTAAGCAGTGTGGTTACCGCCTGTGTCCTGTGCGTGCTCTGAGCAACCCTGTAGGCTGCTCAGCCGATGCCCTTTAGTGTAGGCTGCAGGTGTATAAGTGTCTGTCTCCCTCGTTTGCCAGCACTCCATGTGTTAAGGCCTCCGGTTGTTCTGCTAGCCGGGCCCATCCCGAGGCCCACGTGCGTTGCTCACCGTTCCGGTGGGACTCGCTGACGCAGGCTGGGGTTCGGGGGTTGGTGAGGTCAGCATGGAGGTCAGAGGTCTGTGTGGTATACAGATCTGGTGTACTGGCTGGACTCGTCCTGGCGTGTATGGGAGTGAGTGCTGTCGCCTGGGGGACATGTTGCCTTTTCCTGCCATCCTGCCTTTCCAACGCCGTCAGGAGGCCGCCCTGGTTGTCCTCCCCCCCCCCCGTGTGGACCGGGATAACCCCCGCTGGTCCAGAGAGGGGGTAGCAGGGTGGTGCTTGATGCATGCTTGCGAGCAGTACCCTTGCCGGAAGATTGGCCACCTCCCCCAGGCATTAGGCTCCGTTCCAGTTTAGGCCTCGTGGCCGGTTCAAACTCTCATGTCGCGTTTAGATGCGAGATCGGTATCGGCAAGTTCCGTGCTGGGCCCCGCATTATTTCCCGGGCACCAGGCACTGCTGCCACTGCTTGGTAGTGTGGGATTAATGGTTTTGTGCCCGCTGGTGCCGGAGCTTTCAGAGAGTGTGTCCGGCCATCTTGGCAGTCAGGCCCCGCCCCCAGTACTAACCTTTCTTAAACACAGACTAGACTCATTACTAGACCTACTAATATTGTTAACACTGCCCATCTAGTACCTCTGAATTTAAGAAAGGATATTTTAGAGGGTAAAGATGTTAATCTGGTGTCTTTGTTAATTGAGTTCCCAGGATGTTCTAGAAAATAAGTCATATTCGTTTGGGGATCTCTCAGTTGTAATGAGAGCTAGGGACCCCAGATTCAATAAGACATTATCGATTCCAGAATTTGCCTTGACATTTGGGCTTTTTAGGGATGTGATATGTTCTAGTCAACCTCATCAAAGGGAGGAGTTGGATTTGTACTTGCATAAGCTGGTAGACCTTGGGCACAAATAAGGTAATTTTGCGTTTTTCGAATATCACAAGTGATTTTCAGCAAAAGCAGCAGTGGCATTGGCTCAGTTTAATGTACACACAGACTGGATCCAACTTGATACAGACATTTTGTAGACATTTTGCCAAGCTTAAGGCCCCTTTGTGGTCATTTTGTGCTTCATCTACGCACTCCACTAACTTGTTCTCACATGATCTTAACATGTAAAGCTTGGAGGAAAGACGTGGATATGATAGAAACATTTAAATACATAAAGGGAATCCACAGTTAAGGAGGAGACTATATTTAAAATAAGAAAAACTACCATAACAAGAGGACAAAGTCTTAAATTAGAGGGGCAAAGTTTTAAAAATAATTTCAGGAAGTATTACTTTACTGAGAGGGTAATGGATGCATGGAATAGCCTTCCAGCTGAAGTTAACACAATGAAGGTGTTTAAGCATGCGTGGGATAGGCATAAAGCTATCCTAGCTATAAGGTAAGGGCAGGGACTAATGAAAGTATTAAGAAAATTGGGCAGACTAGATGGGCCAAATGGTTCTTATCTTCCGTCACATTCTTTGTTTCTATATTACTTTGCAACAAAACTTACATTTGGCTCCAAAAACAACCCTAAACTGTTTGATGTATTTTCAGATAGGTTATGTTGCCTTCTTCTGAATAGGTGCAGGTGCCCAGTAGTCATCCACTACCTGGATAATTTTCTTACTATTTAAAATGACAACTCCTCACCGGTCAGTATGAACCAGTGCCTGTTGCACTTGAAAAAACAGAAGGCCCCTGTAAGGATATTACATTCTGAGGCATTCATTTAAATTCTAAGACAACAACGCAAGTTTGCCAAGGGAAAAAATTGTCAAGATACTTGATGATTTTAAGGTTTGTTTACATCAAGGATCCTGTACTAGGAAGGAATTGTTCTCACTCCTAGGTTCTCTCAATTTTGCAATGAGGGTTATCCCACAAGGCCGTTTATTTATTTCACGATTACAACATTTACTACATGGTCTCCCAGGTGATGATTCTAGGATTTCTGTAGACAGTCAACCTAGAGCTGATTTGTCAATGTGGCAACTTTTTCTATCATCCTGGAATGGTAGATCCTCATTTATTCACCCTGTGGTGAAAGTAACCTTGCCACTTGTACTTGGAGGGGCCTGCTTGCAGCCTGCCCACAGACTATGGGCCTGCAGGTAAACATGTAAAAGACTACCAAACTTGACTGACTGTTAGCACTGATTTCCTGATGAAATTCCTGAACCCCTGAACCGATGTGGGTGATTTTTGGATATGTTGTTCACCCAGATCGGTGCTATCAGGGGATGTTTATGGGGTTTTATGTGTTTTAAGGTACTTTTTGAGGTTTCATAAAATTGTGTGTTTTTCTGTGCTTGGAGATAATTGGGTTAGATTAGTTCCTGATTTAAATATCTCCCAAGCACAGAGGATGGATTCTATTGTTTGTGTATGGAAGTGTCTCATTGTTTTTATTGGTTTATTCACTTTGTGTCCCAGTGCCCAACAGGTCCACCTAGGTGTCACCCTTGTTGGGAAACTTGCATAAAAGACCAGTGTGCCTGCATTAAAATTCTGTTCCTGCTTACTCTCAACATGGAGTCTCATCTCATGTGTGGGGGAAACGGCTGTATCTATCCAGGGGTTTGCTAAATCACTATACTCCCCAGGAATTATAATCACTAGCTCTTACAAGAGCTGTTTCTTGCTACGCTATCAGGGAGTATGAGAGGTCTGCCCACTGGAAGCTGGATCACGGTCTTGGGTCCAGGGTGGGTGAAGGACGGCGAGACCCCGGCGCAGCTGCATGGAAGTGGGGTCTGCAGTGCTTATGGTGTCTGGTGGAGTGCGGGAATTCCTTTGGTCCGTCACACACCCCATTTCCGACAACTCCCCTGTGGTTTGGTCAGACGCTGCAAGTACCATCGGTCACGCAGCCATATTTGGGGATGAGTGGGGCCACGAAAGATGGCCGAAACTCAATTGGCAAATTTTACAAATTCCTCTGCTCCGATATCCTCCAAGTAAAATCTTCTGAGATAAAATTAGCAAGGTCCAATTGAGGCAAAAACTAGTTTTATTAGAAAACAAGATGATAAAACAAAAATGTAATATAAAACACAAATGCGTTTCACCTATAATCAGGCTTTATCAAACCACACTTATTGATTTAAATTACATTTTTGTTTTACTATCTTGTTTTCTAATAAGATAGTAAACACCCAGCACTCCCAAGCAACCAAGTCCTGCTGAATCTTCAGAGCAGAGACTGGGCCCCTTAAAACAGCATTAACACCCAGCACTCCCAAGCAACCAAGTCCTGCTGAATCTTCAGAGCAGAGACTGGGCCCCTTAAAACAGCATTAACACCCAGCACTCCCAAGCAACCAAGTCCTGCTGAATCTTCAGAGCAGAGACTGGGCCCCTTAAAACAGCATTAACACCCAGCACTCCCAAGCAACCAAGTCCTGCTGAATCTTCAGAGCAGAGGTATTATCTCTGGAAGATCAACTCAAGAATACCTGCATTACTGTTTCCTTTAAACTCTTATTTTCAAACGGTGTTCTATTCCATCTCCCTCCCTATACTATCACTACTCAATTGATAACTATATCTCCCATCCTGATCTTCTGTTTTTGTTTTTCTTAAGGCTGGTATGATCATGTCAATTTATGTTCATTCTCTTAGACTCTTTGTTAATTGTTTGTTTGTTTAGCTAGTGTTACTACTCTCACTGATAATATAGTAAATTTATGTTCATGGTTTATGACTTTCACCTATCTGATCCTTCCTATCTTTTTATCCCAAATGTTCTCTCCTTTTAGTTTTTCATCTCTAATTAATTACCTCAATAGCCCCATGTCTCCCCACCCATAACAGTGTGTTTTATTTCATTTTTTTTTTCTAACCTCAGACCTTATATTTCAGACTGGGCCCCTTAAAACAGCATTAACACCCAGCACTCCCAAGCAACCAAGTCCTGCTGAATCTTCAGAGCAGAGGTATTATCTCTGGAAGATTGCCCACCCACCCCATCGTCATCAACTTATTTATAGATAGTGCACATCAGCAGGTTTCCATAACACACCAATCAAGTCATTAAACCACTCCTCACCTGAATTCATTTAACACACTGCATCCTTACAATGGTTTAAACACTTATTGATATTGTTATTGATATTGTGTGTTTGTATATATGGTCTACATATATATATAATACACATTTTCTCTAATGTTCTCCCTTCTATTTTTCACATTAACACTAACTTCTGTCATTACTAAAATATCCCTATCCTTTCACTCACCTGTCCCTGGCAACACCATCATCATTACTTCCACCTTACTTCCCTCCCCTCTCTATTCATCCCATGCACTCTACACATACCTTTCCAGCCTATCTCCACCAACTCTTTCCAAATCCTCCACATACATACCCTCCTACAAAACTTTCAAATCCTACTCCCACCTTCACTTCCTTTCTATCCTTCTGCTCCTAGCAGCTGGTGATGTCTCTCCAAACCCCGGTCCCCTCTCAACAAACTCAGCACGTACTAACCCAAGGATCCACACTAATCTCATACCCATCTCTTGTTCCTCTAAATCCTCCTTCAATACTGCCCTCTGGAATGCATGCTCTGTTTGCAATATAACTAAATCCACTGCGGTCCATGACTACTTCATCTCTCGTTCAATAGATTTACTAGCCTTAACAGAAACCTGGCTCTCCCCCTCTGACACTGCCACCCCTGCATCTTTGTCCTTCGGTGGTCTCCAACTTACCCACACCCCAAGAAACTTTGAATGTAAAGGTGGTGGTGTTGGGTTTCTCCTCTCCCCTCACTGCTCTTTTAAACCTCTTCCCACCCCCCCTTCCCTCTCTTTCCCATCATTTGAAATACACTCAATTCGCCTTTTCAAACCCTTCGCTGCTAACATTGCTGTTATTTACCGTCCCCCTGGTTCCCCTCTTCTCTTCCTTGACCATTTTGCTGCCTGGCTACCCTATTTCCTCTCTTCTAACATCCCATCCCTAATTCTCGGGGACTTCAATATTCCTATAAACCCACCTTTGACCTCTGCAGCCAATAAACTACTTTCAATTACTTCCTCCCTCGGGCTATCACAGTGGGCAAATTCTCCCACCCATTCAGCTGGCAATACCCTTGACCTAATCTTCACTTATGCATGTACGGTATCTAATATCTGCAACACTCCTTATCCTCTCTCTGATCACCACCTCTTATCGTTTGCGCTCACGTACCCCCTCACCCAACAACCTCCGCCTAACCAGCCTCAACTCAGGAGGGACCTTAATTCTCTTGATCTCCAACAGTTGTCAGCTGACATTGATTCACAACTGCTGTCCATCCCTTCCCTATCCTATCCTTCACTGGCCATCTCCATATATAACTCTACTCTTACATCTGCCTTGAACACTGCAGCGCCACTCCAAACAAGCACCTCAAGGAGGACCCGCCCCCAACCGTGGCATACTAAATCAACGCGCTACCTGCAAAGATGCTCCCGGTGTGCTGAACGCTCCTGGAGGAAGTCTCGCACCCAGTCAGACTTTCTCCATTATAGATTCATACTGTGTTCATACAGTGCAGCCCTTGCCCTTGCCAAACAGTCCTATTTTTCCTCTCTCATTAGTTCATGTTCCCGCAACCCCAGGCGTCTCTTTGACACCTTTAATTCTCTTCTTCGCCCCGCTGTGGCCACCCCCCAAACCAACCTTACTGCTGATAACTTTGCATGTTACTTCACTGACAAAATTGAACAGCTAAGGAAAGAATTCTCCCCTCCTTGCCTTTCTGTTTCTCAATCACACATTGATCATGCCTTTCCTACCCTTCAGACATTCTCCCCAGCCACTGACCAAGAGGTGGCTGCTCTTCTTTGCTCCTCTCGCCCCACCACTTGCCCGCTCGATCCTGTCCCGTCTCACCTTATCAGATCTCTCTCCGCTTGTCTCGTGCCTTCTCTAACACACATCTTCAACTGCTCGCTCTCTTCTGGCATCGTCCCTGCTGACCTTAAACATGCCACTGTAGTACCTATACTAAAAAAACCATCCCTCGACCCGTCCACCCCCTCTAACTACCGTCCCATATCCCTGCTCCCTTTTTCCTCAAAGCTTCTGGAAAGACTTGTCTTTACCCGTGTGTCTCATTTCCTCAATTCCAACTCTCTCCTTGACCCCCTTCAATCTGGCTTCCGCCCTCTCCACTCTACAGAGACTGCCCTTATCAAAGTTACTAACGACCTAATCGCAGCTAAATCCAAAGGCCACTACTCCATACTAATTCTTCTTGACCTCTCGGCGGCCTTTGACACCGTTGATCATGCTCTCCTTCTTCATACTCTGCAATCGCTTGGTCTCTGTGACTCTGTCCTTTCGTGGTTTTCCTCTTATCTCTCCCAACGCTCATTCAGTGTCTCTTTTTCTAATAATACCTCCTCCCCTCGCCCTGTCTTGGTTGGAGTCCCCCAAGGCTCCGTCCTTGGTCCCCTTCTATTTTCTCTTTAT